CTCCCAACAGCAGTGCTGCAACTTCCTGGCTCCCAGCCTCCTGAGAAAACCCAGCTGGGCTGTGCACTGGGCTCCTGTCCCCCCACCTTGCATCTAAATAGGGTAAAAGAGGCAAAAAGGCATCCTCTAACAATTGGAGGTTAAATCCTATTGAGGAAAATAAACGGGAACATAAGCTCCGGCAAATCAAGCATGAAAGTGTTTTTTGGCCAGCCTAATTATAATCTGAAAAGTAACTAGGGGGAAAAAACCACAAAAATAATGGAAAATAGTTTAAGTATATCAGGAGCAGGACGTCTGCTAAACAATCAATGAAGCCACTGCACGTCCAAGAAAGAAAAGGCCATTACAGAGAAACTACATGAATTCTTTGTGTCTGTCTTCACTACATAGGGTTTATGGGAAATTCCCACACTCAAGCCATTCTTTTTAGGGGACAGATTTGAGGAACTGTGCCAGATTACTTAATACAGTTTTTGGATAAAATTGATAAATTAGACAGTAATAAGTCCCGAGGATCAGATGGTCTTTACCCCAGAGTTCTGACGGAATTCAAATATGAAATTGCAGAACTACTATTTGTGGTATGTAACCTATCACTTAAATCCACTTCTGTACCAGACGACCGAAGGACAGCTAATGTGATGCCGATTTAAAAAAAAAAAAAAAAAAAAAGCTCCAGAAGTGATCCTGGCAATTACAGACCAGCCAACCTAACTTCAGTACCGGGCAAACCTGTTGAAATTATAGCACAGAACAGAATTACCAAACACGCAGATGAACACAAGTGGTTAAGGAACAGTCAATGTGGCTTTTGTATAGGGAAATCATGCCTCACCAATCTATAAGAATTTTTTGAAGGGAACAACAAACAAGTGGAGGAGGGTGATCCAGTGGATATAATGAACTTGAGTCTTACCAAACTAAGTGACTGGGCAACAAAATGGCAAATGAAATGTAATGTTGATAAATGTAAAGTAATGCATGATAGGGACTAATGATAGGGACTAATCAACATGATAGGGACTAATTTGGCTACAACTATTCAAGAGAGCTCTTGGACTCATTGTGGATAGTTCCCTGAAAACATCCACTTGGTGTACAGCAGCAGTCACAAAAGCAACAGAATGTTAGGAATCATTACAAAAGGGACAGAGAATAAGACAAAAACTATCTTCTTTCCTCTATATAAAACCATGGTAGGCCCACCTCTTGACTACTGTGTACAGATGTGGTCGCCTCATCCCAAAAAAGATATATTGGCATTGGAAAAGGTTCAGAAAAGGGCAACAAAAATGATTAAGGGCTTAGAATGGGTCCCATATGAAGAGAGATTAAAAAGACTTGGACTTTGCAGCTCAGAAAAGAGGAGACTAATAGAGGTCTATAAAATCATGACTGGAGTAGAAAAAGTGAATAAGGAAACATTATTTACTTATTCCCACAACAGAAGAACTAGGTCACCAAATGAAATTAATAGGCAGTAGGTTTTAACAAACAAAAGCAAGTTTTTCTTCACTCAGCGCACAATCAACCTCTGGAACGCCTTGCCAGAGGATGTGGTGAAGGCTAGGACTTCAACAGGGTTCAAAAAAGAGCTAGAGAGATTCATGGAGGTTAGGTCCATCAATGGCTGTTAGCCAGGATGGATAAAGAATAGTATCCCTAGCCTCTGTTTGTCTAGAAATGGGTGATGGGGAGGGATCACGTGAGGATTACCTGTTGTGTTCCCTCCCTCTGGGGCATCTGGTATTGGCCATTGTTGGCAGTTAGGATACTGGGCTAGATGGTCTGTTGGTCTGACCCAGTATGGCCGTTCTTATGTCTTTCAGAAAGCTTTTCACAAGGTCCCTCAGCAAAGGCACGTAAGCAAGTAAGCAGTCATGAGGTAAGAGGAAAGGTCTTCTCGTGGGTCAGTAACTGATTAAAAGACAGGAAACAAAGTACAGGAATAAATGTATTAGTTTTTAGAAGGGAGGGGGGTAAATAGTTGGCTTCCCCAGAGTTCTTTACTGGGACCAGTGCTGTTTAACATTTTCATAAATTACGTTGAAAAGCGGTAAACTGTAAGGTAGCAAAATTTGTAGACAATAACTATCTTGAATAATTTTGTAAGTCCAAAGCAGACTGCAAAGAGTTACAAAAGATCTTCACAAAACTTTGTGACTGGGCAACAAAATGGCATATGAAATTCAGCGTTGATAAACGCAAAGTAATGCACACTGGAAAGCATAATTCTAACTGTACATACAAAACGATGGGGTCTAAATTACTTATCACTTAAGATCCTGGAGTCTTTGGAGACAGTTCTTTGAAAACATCCACTCAATATGCAGCAGCACTCAAAAAAGCTAATAGAATGATAGGAACCATTAGAAAAGAGATAGACAAGACAGAAAATACCATCACTCTATATAAATCCATAATGTGCTACACCTTGAATATTGTATCCCATTGTGGTCACCCCCCATCTCAAAAAATATCTATTAGCACTAGAATAGATATAGTGAAGGGCAACAAAAATGATTAGAGATATGGAATAGCTTCCAAATGAGGAGAGATTAAAAAAACAGGGATTTTTCAGTGTTAGCAGAATTGTATATGCTTGTGTAATTTTATGTAATCTTGGGCTGTACCACAAGTGTTGGAATGGTAATGAGCAGATTATATGTATATTAGCCTTGTTTATATTACATCATTAATATGTTATCAATTGCATTGCATATGTACCAACGGAATTGTTGATTTTGAACCTGTCTCATGAATATTCATAGGGTAGAACATTGTTTCATAAATATTAAGTTATGTTAAGGGACCAATCAATTCTAAATCATGTAAAGCGGCATCCTCTGTAAACCAATCATTTCAAACTAGAACCCTCATGCATATGCATCAGCATAGCCTTTAAAAGCCTGTGCAATGCCCGTTTCAAGTGTTGCATCGGGGCGTCGGGTTAGACTTAAGTTTAGGCTAGGCTAGCATGAGAGGGTGAGAGGGGAATGTGCTTTTGTCCCGCAACAAATGATTGAGTCCTAGGTTAGGTTAAGTAGGTTAAGATAAACGGAAGGCTTACACTTAACATAGATATAGGTTTAGAGTTAGTTAGTTTAGTTATTAGATAGTTTAGTGGACGTCATAGTGTCTGCCCGTCAGGCAGCGTCGGTCGCAGCACGTCGGCCGTTGTCGTGTCTGTTCGGCTGGTGCGTCGCGTCCTTAGATAGGGTTTTATTTTAGAATAGGATAGGATAAGTAGTCAGAGTCTAGGTCGACTATCGCCAGTTCCAGCTGTTCCTGAAGCGCAGGAAGAAGGACGGTAATCCAGCAGAAGGCGGACCATCGAACCCGATTCTGGATCTTTGAGAGACTCCTGGCTGCTCCTCTCCTGAGGCCC